CATAGCACTACTGAGTAGAGTGTTAGTACTAATAGGCCTAATCATAGCACTACTGAGTAGAGTGTTAGTACCAGTAGGCCTAATCATCGCACTACTGAGTAGAGTGTTAGTACCAGTAGGCCTAATCATCGCACTACTGAGTAGAGTACTAATACTAGTAGGCCTAGGCCTACATGTATACTCCTCTTTTTTGAATTCAGTCAATTGATCCAATACAAAATTTGAAAAATGTAGGCCTAGGCCTACAGCTGATTGACCAGTTCCACAATTGTGCCAGTTCCGCAATTCAGAAAAAATGGGCTTCAGTTTCAGAAACACAAAATTGCTGGGGACTTGATTCATACTTCTATGAAATAGTTTACTTGAAGATTTTGCAGAAAAACAATTTTGCTTCCAGAACCACAGCTGTAAATTAAGAAGATTGGCAACGATCGTTTTTGCTGATCGTGGTTCACAACCACAGCGTGTATGCATTCTGCCCGATCTTGCTTTTGTTGCTCTTTTAAACGATCGTTGTGGTGACTTTTTTCAAACCAAAATCCGTTCTGCTATTAGAAATTATCAGCTAGAGTAAGTGCAGGAATTTTCGACCTGGAGGAGAATTTGACCTACTGCATTCAAAAACTACTCAGCCAGTCAAATTTCTTGCTTTTCTTATGGGGTTGAATACCCCCACCTTTACCCTATCCTAACGTGAAAATAGAAGTTCTGTACATTTTCAAATGTGTACAGTATGTTTTGGATACTTGAAAAGTGACTGCAACATCTTTTCAGTGTGTGTGTTGTGCATGTCCTTCTGTCTGGAAGAATAACACCAATTGTTATGACTACACAGATAGCGTGGTTTGCGGAACCAGCAAATGTTCACGGAACCCGGCAAACCACCAACCATCCAAAAAAGCTCGCATTCGTCTTTCAAATGACTGCCCAAAATTGTTTCAAATATTGCTGGATGAAAACCTTTCCATGAAAGTTTTCGAGGCACCAGGGACCTTGGACTCTTCCTGTTTGTGGAATTGGTCAATTATATTGACTGTATTAACGCTCCACTCTGTAGAGCTATATTGGACTATGGACTATGGAAAAAGGATGATGGAGGTCATCACAGCATCCATAAGCCTTATTGCTGATACCACATGAAAGATTATACACAATAGTAGAAAAGCATTGTGGGAAGGAAAAGGGGGCAATGTTTGCTCCTTTTTCCTTCCCATAATGCCTTTCAAACACTGTGCCAAATCACTCCTGCAGTACTATCAGCAATTAGGAGCCTTATGCTAATATGGCGTCAGGCACGTCAGGCTGGATGGTCGTCATTTTGTGTGAAGCCCAATAGGCTAGTAAATGTTTATGTTACTGACAATTAAGAAGCCCATCCTACAATCAGCGACCGCTATACATATTATACATTGCAATTTGCGAATAGCCAACTTTGAACTCACTGGCCGTGCATCAACTTGCCACCATGTCATGCGTGTCATCCTATGAGTTTTTTCGTCATCGTCAAATTCGTCAAACTCACTGGCCGTGCATCAACTTGCCACCATGTCATGCGTGTCATCCTATGAGTTTTTTCGTCATCGTCAAATTTCCGCGCGGCTTGCGGCCTGCCGCGGCGCGCGCCGCACGGTAGTGGTTGTTAACAGCGCCCTCACGTGACTTCGTTAAAATCGAAGGAAGCTGAAATGTCGACAATCAACAAAACCCCGTCTTTATGGGTGCACTGCACTAATTCAAGCTCCGTTAAAAATAGTGTCAAATCAGCAAAGTGTGGCAACTGAAGTCCCTGAGGCCTCTCAAACAAAAAATATGTTGTTTGGTCCTTCAAATTTCAGTTGATTCTCAATTTTTAGTAAGTTAACCAATGAATTTTTAATTATTCACAAAAAAAACAAACTCACCCCCCAAAAAGTGCATGTTCCCAGCCTTCTCAGCAGTCATTTTTCAAATGACATACCTCACTTTTCTCAGGCACTTCTGACAAATTTTCAACAACGGTTTTGTCTGCTTTGCCCCCAGAAGGGTGCCTCTGAATCTGCAGAGATGATCCTGGGCCATACTTACACAATCCCACAATTTCTTGGCCCACACGTACAGACACCTCTTCTCGAAAGAATCTGTAGGGGTAGTTTTTAAGCGCCTCCGCTTGGCGGATAATTTTCCTTGAATTGGGACACTGCACCCACATAAGTGAAAAACTTTAAAGGTAACATGAAATGAAAAGTTAAAAGAAATCATGAGTAACCTGAAGGTTGCAGTCGCCTAATCTTAGAAATTTGATAGCATTATTAATGATTAGAGACAGCACCTGAACTCCTTGTTCCGCCGGGGGGGGGAACAGATTTTCATTCACCAATTGAACCAGTGGCATGGCCAAGGGGGGCCAAGGGGCACGTGCCCCCCCCCACTAAAAAACAGATAAATGGACATTGAACAAGGCTAACAAAAGCTTGCCCCCCCCCAAAAAAAACCATACCACCGAAAGCTGGTGCCTCCCCCCTCAGTAAAACCCTAGTTACACCACTGAATTGAACCACACTTACACAGTACTATTGAAAATCAACTGCAAATGGCATTAAATTGCTTAACAGCACTTAACATGCTCTGTTGATAATGGTCATCACATTTCACTCATTTTCAGAAGGGAATTTCCAAACATATATCCACTGCCTTGCACAGTGACTCAGTTTAAATTATAAAATTCTCTTTGGACCATGTGACAGATACACACACACACACTGTCATATTCTGTGTTCAATCAAACAGTATTATTTAATATTGAACTGATTCCCTGTACATCAATCATAAAGCAGTTCTCACTCTGGTCATTCATTAGCCTGGGCATTTCTGCTCACACTGACTTTTTACAACTTAATGTCCTGTAAGCATGCAATCTAATAATATAAACATCTGATAAATAAAGGTGCAGTGTGTTCATTCATAGGTTGCAGGGCAAGTAAGCGTGAGGGTGAGAGTTCACATGGGTATCATGAGTCACAATTGTTAATAACTCAACATTATGAAATAAAGAATACAGTCTCCTCAATAACATGAATAATACAGTAATGAAGCAACAGCAAGTCAACCAGTGAACCAGAACTTTTCCGAGCCATATTTATAGGTGAATGTTGGGAACCAGGGAAATCCCGAAGAAATACAACATTGAGTATTGATCATCATGCTCCTAAACACAGTCACCCTTATTTTTCAATAACGAGGTTACTCTGAATGTGAAAAAGCATAATGCATTACCCTGTAGTAAGAACATGTTTGACGACCTCTTAAGCAAATTACAAATATAAGCTTGCAGAGAGTTACATAGGCTTAGGATATGAGGCTGTCCATTTCTAGCTCGTCGAACAATTTATTTTTCTCTCTGGAAAATACATGTACAGTCAGTCATGCAATGTGTGGCAAATATGCTCCCACACAAATTGCATAAACACACCATCATGATTTATTTCTTGAAAGGGAAAGGATGCATAACCATTGCCAGCAAATTTAACAGAAATATATTTTGCTGAGCACATGAGCAGTAACTGCTTTTTTTTGACTTACTGGGACACATCTTAGTCTGATTCTGCGTCAATATAGTGGTTGTGACTTTGTATTAACAAGGTGGAAAACACATCATTTTACAATGTTTGACTTTTTAAAACCACAACAATCTCCAGGGGCACGAATCAGAAAAAGAAAATGTGTTACCCTGTAATTAAATGCTGCAGTCAATTGAAAATCACAAAAGAAGAAAATTCTTAATTTTTTGAGAAGAAAAGAAAAAGGAGAACAGCTGAGGATCAAACCCAGCGAGGGGCATATGATGTGATTTCATGTTGTGCATGCCATCCACTAGACAACCCAACCTACTTAAAATTTAGTACGAATTCAATAACCTTTCTAAGCATCAAAGAGGACACTGCCTACTTGTGGCCAGCTAAATACCGTTTAGTTAGATTTGTTGGCGACTGTCTTCTTGAAAAGTAAGTTCAAACCATTTACTTCTACATAGCCACACTGCCGCCCCCCCCAAAAAAAAACCAATCAGGAGCACTGCATTCAGGTGTAACATGCATTCTCTCATTAACACCTTTTGATCCATCTAAGAAATGCCCAAGCTAACGCATCACTGAAACCAGGCAGTTTTCAAGTTTTCAAATCAACATAAAGTGCTTTCACATATTGAATATCACAACAGCCAAGCATGTCTAATCGTCTAGTGTTCCAAGTATGACATGCAGGCTAGGCAATCTATACAATAATTTGATATATACAAAACTGTACATCCTTATCTACATAAAGCAAGTGACTGCCATAGGGTTAACTATAGTTTGTCACAAGGTTATTTTTAAAAATATATTTACAGAATTTCTGTACAGTGATTTGAAACAAAGGTTCAGTTTGCCCTGGAAATGACAATGTAACACTAAAGTGGGGCTCAAACCCAGAGAAAACAAACTCAAATATGCATATTAAAATGTGACATGGACATACATTAAAATGTTGATATTCACAAAGAATATTCACAATTGTGTAATGCCCATATGAGGTAATACATGTGTGCAAAAACACACATCATAATTAAGTAGTTTAATTGATCAGTTTGTTGTGGTTAGTACAAGTTTATGAACAAGGCTTAACAGATTGAGACAGACAAGCCCCAGAATCAACAACAACAATTCCTGTTAAAAGAGTTTGAACTCAACAACAAAGAAATTCACTGTTACCAGAATTCAATTTCCATAACTCTAGGCAAAATCACACAAAGTGGCTCCTGCTGCCAGAGTGCCAGCACAGTGACAAACCAAGTTGCACATGGTCAGAAAACAAATTAACAAAACTGGAAAGTGAATTGCTGACCATTTCCAACTAAAAGCTGTCAACTTTACCAAGAGAACAAATTAGTAACTGAAGAATGCAAGGACCTAGGCAACTGCTCCAGGGTCCTCTTTGGCAGAAAATCATGTTTAGTAAATCACCAAACAATTGTTAACCAAAAATCATCTGGGGACCAGCTATAATGCAAATAAATACCACACATATAATTTGCTAGTAGAGTGCTCTTGCCTTGCAAAGTTTATGATGCTCAGCAAACTGAATATTTATTAACACCATAAATCCACCACTGCTCAGAGGTTTTTCCCGATATATTTAAAGTGAACATCGAGTAACAAAGGAGTGTAAACTATATATGAACTCATAAAACAGATGGGTCAACTTTCAGAACTTAAAACAAACTTGCTGGTAAGTGGGGAACAGCTTGGTTTTGAAAAAAAAAGCACAAATACCAACCAAGCTGCTATGCAAAGTATATTGACTGTGACTGGTTCCCAGCTGTTTTCTGCTTTGCCTGTCAATCTGCTAAGTGGTATATTCTGCTTAGTGGCTAAAAAGCAAAGCATGGTAAAGGTGACCCAGCAACACTGAAGAATCCTAATTTGGGGCACATGTATACCATTTGAGCTGATGCCACTATGTTTGAGATGCTTCAGTTTTTACTAAATAATACAGCTCCATAGACACTGAAGGGACACTCTCTGCTCAATGTTGTTTATCCAGAGATTATAATTGTCATAGCAAGAAAAGGAAGTGTAGTCCCCTTGATATTCCATAGCTCGCATGATTCCAAAGTCCTAGGGCCAATTTCACAGTGCTGTAATGAATTGGGACTCACACACTACTGACTACCATGTACTGTACAACCTGAAAGAGGGGCAGTGAATAAAATGCTCTTTGGATTGGTGTCATGTGAGAAATGTCTTGTTGGAGCCAGTTTTATGTTAAAGCAAAGAAACGTGAGGATGTGTTTGAGTAAGTAATCGAGCAGTGATGACTTCTCGGTGGTGAAGGAGATCACAAGATGCATCATAGTGCTGATGCGTCACTGGGCCAAGACGTTTTAATCCCTTGGATAAATCATCGATACATTTTATTGTTGTACTTTCCAAATCAAATTAAGGCACCATAAAAATTGTTACAAGCATCTGCATCTGAGAACTGGTTCCACATTCATTTTCCTTCTTTTGGGGGCCTGAGGAAGGGGAGTTGATTTCTTTCAATATTCAGCATAGGCACAAATGTTGCCCAAAACAGAAAATGACCTGAAACTGAAAGCCATCAATTGCAGTCGCAAAATTCCCTGGATGGAGTAGACGGCAAAGTGTTTCTCCATCTGAAGTCCTGACTGGAAATTACTGATATATGAAGCAGTGGTCTTTACTTTCATGGACATTGCTGTATCAAGATTTTTCATGGGGTTAACTTGAATTTTAAAAAAATGCACTCATCACTTAAGTTTCCGAAAGTTCTGAGAAACTAGGACTTATTTTCATGTGGCCTAAGCTCATTTTGAAATCACCAAGGAAAATATGAGAGGGGTGAAATATTTTTTTCATGACAAAGCCTATTCATAAATAAACATTAAGAAACAATTATTTTTCTGTGTCAATAAATAATGAAATAATGAGTGTCAAAAGAAGAGAGGCGCTCAAAATGTCATGGATAAATTACATCATTCAAAAAAAGAAAAAACAAAACGAAAGAAAATGATTCTCTGTAAAAAATGCTAGCTATGCCTTTATTAACAAACTCTGAATATCATTTTCGAGACTAAAGATACGGGGGCAGAATTAGTTCAAATTGGCATTTCTGTAAATTCATCAACCCAATTAATACACTGTCAGTGCTATTTAAGCTTTGGATACTATTTTCCTTTTAAAAAAATTAAGGCAATCTGCACACTGTATAATCTTGATTCAACTTGTGGAGCTAGACGATGCACACTCTTTTTGGAAATTCAACAGAGGCTTCTTATCTAGAGGGTTCTGTACCATGGCATGATCAGTGATACTAAAGACAAACTGTAGACAACCCATCTTGACATAGCTGCCGTGATGCAGGATAGCAGTACCTTCCCAACCGGCTCCATTGCCTCCTATCAGACAGGAGCTGCTGACCTTACAGCTACAAGGCTTCTTGAAGTGGTTGCTAGTAGCACTCATCATTACAGCTCCTTCTTCCTCCCTTGTCTTCTCCTCGTCCTCAGGCTCTTCCTCTTTGGTCCTGCTGTCTGACAATTCCCTTTTCCTTTTCCCCCTGCGGATGAGATTCCGCACTGACTTGACAAAGGGGGATGCCGGGGGAGGTGTGGTGGTCTTATCGGAGAAATCGCAGGAATACAAGACGTTGTCTGCTGTTGTCCCATGCTCGCTGTAGTTAATGAGTTCATAGTGCCGGGTGTTCTGAAAGGAAGTCATGAAGGAATGTGGATTCAAATAGAGGTAGGCATTACCATAAGTAAATTCAACAAACATGAAACAACCTTTAGTCCAACAAAGAGCTCTTCATGCAGACCAACGAGCCACTATAAATGCAACCTATTAATTCAAACAATCTAGAAACGTGGTCATTCCTCATCACATTAACAAGATAGGTAGAAATTTAGCTTGAAATAAAAACACTACATTTGATATGATTCAAGCCACAAGCAACAAAGTAGAATGTACATCGGTAATGTAAGAAGTAACAAGACACTAAACACACGCTGAACTAGAAATCAAAATCTGTTTAACCAACCTCATCATAGAATATACAAGCATGCTTTGGAGAAATGTAGTTACAGTGGCCAAAATTACTGAGACAAACATCCATATCACTCCCTGTTGGAAAAAAAAAGGAGACAGTGTTAATGAAATTCAAAAATGGGGCAATTAATTTGAAAATAATAAAACAAAACTGAAAAACACGCTCAAAAACTATCTATTATTAATTAGGGTAAATAACAGACAAGTCATTCAGATGATTTTGAAATACTTTTGTGTTTAACCCCTCACAGCGGGATTCTTTGGACTGCGACTGCTGGGCTGCAGTATGCCCAGTATGCAAAGCCCTGTCCAGCAGCATGCCCACATTGAAACCACAGCTGCATGATGAATACAGTGTATGTGTGCTATGCACTAATCCTTACACAAAGCCGCCGCTGTTCGCGGAGCGAAGGGGTTAACAAGATCTTTGTATTTAAGTACATCATGCATGTGCATTAAAAAACAAAAATCCCATAAATTTTGCTCGGTGTCACAATGTGTACTCGCATCCTTTATGTTCTCAGAGCTAACAGATCAGTAACCCCAAGACAAGCCATTAGTGTGTACTCACCAGTTCCTATATGTAGTGTCCTGTAACACATGGGTACCGGGGAGGATTGTCCCCTACCCGTGAGTGGACAGAACAATGCTCTGGCTTTGATTTGATGGGTGAATGATGCAGTAGATGGAGTAGGCCCTGCAGTGTTTGTGCTTGTTGAAGCAGTGCTACTGTGGACCAAATACTTCTTGATAGCAGATGTTGATGGAGGTGGCTGCTGGTAATATTGCAATACGTGTAGTTGATTAAATAAAATCTGATAAAATTTGGAACATCCAGATAACTTTCATTCAACTGTAAAAGATTATGATTTAAACTATATTAAAATATTTCTAAAAATTCCCCACAAATTTCAGTTTCCATCTGACAGATATATTTGCATAATAATTGCTACAAAGCTGGGAGATTTAACCTCCAAAAGTCACCAAAACAGAAAATAAATATGCAAATAACGCAAGCATATTTTATTTACATGTAACCCGGGACAAATCTTCGATAAATACCTTGCGAGTTTCAATCGTTTTCTGAACTGCTTGCCTGACATTTCATTTCTGACTTACGACAAGTATGCAACTCCTGTGCATCTGTATTAGAATGGTTCCCAGCACGGCCCATTCATTAAAGTGTCATTCCACCAACAGGAACCAGTGTAACCATGGTACATGTAACACACAAATTTTTTTTACTCTAGGAAAACTTGATTTCATTACACGATCTATTTCTGGTGAGGACTACCAAAAAGATGAAGCATGGGAGGAGATGAACATACATTTAACAAAATTTCAATTTGGTAATTTCAATACTTTTTATGTCTAATTTAATTTTTTTGCATCTAAGTACTGGAACAAAATCCTCACACTGAATTTTTTGGGGTGGGTGGAGGCACGTTTTGAAGATGTGCCAGTTTGGAACAGGATTGTGCATCCGCAACTGAATATCGCAATACTGAACATTTTGTGTGGACCACAGCGGCATTCCACTGCAAACAGGTCTGCATTGGCATCCTTACCCTCACAAATATTAAGCTCACAAATGTTCTAAATAAATAAATTAAAATAAAAGCTCTAAATAAGAAAGCAGACATGCCAATGGGTGATGCTAGGACTGACTCAAAAGAATACCAACAGGAAGTCCCCTGAAATTACTCTGATCCAGGCCTCGAAATAGTACTAGCCCGGCGCACAAATTCTAGCATAAAATGCTCCAGGCTACCTAAACTTGGTTCCTTGGTTGCCCGCTGAGCTAGTGACAAATTCAGAATAAGCCTACCTGTTAAAACTTAGATTATAATTATATAATGTTTTTCGTGATGATAATACAAGATTGCAAAACCTGAGTCATTGTGGGTGTGTTTTTACTTGTGGTTTTTGAAATATGATGCTCGCGCAACAGGGTGATAAGTGACATTGAAAGCCATGAACAGAGTAGACTGGTGGGTTGTAGTACTGGTACAGCGTAGCACATGGTACGGCGCGATACCGCACATGCACACTATGCTTGTTCACTGTTTAGGCCACTTTTGCTTCTGACTACATGCCTCTCAAAAATAGTATTGGTAGGTCGGAATTTTGTTTAGTAAATTTTTTGTGCTGATGTAATAGCCTGAATGGGGATGAAAGCTTTCAAAAATTGTCTCAAACAGTGATAAAAACATGTCTTGATATAAGTAAAAATTTCTGCAGTCAACAAATCACAAGAATTACGGACAAATCACACAATGCTAGTCAGGCATCCAGACGGGTGAGCAATAAACCACGTGCCGTGGCAGGAACTCATGAGCACAGAAAATAAATACATAAACAAGAGACCAAGTTCTGTGAATTAACTTGAAGAAATCTTTTTGTAACATCAATGTTTTTTCGACCTGCAGCTGTATGGCTGCATGTGTGTACGACACTGGTGTAATTTTAACCCACTCGCGACTAGGATGTAAAGACTGGTTAGCACATTTCCATCACATATTCTTTTGCATGGGTGCAGCATGGTGGGAACCAGTGCAGCTCTGCTTTCATTGAGCTTTACGCACAAAATTTCACTACTGCGACAGCAAAACATGAGTGGAACTCGTGAAAACGACAGAAGTTTCTTTTCAAAAACTGCAAATGTAAGTAGGAAAACATATAAAAACAAACGTTTCAACGTGAGAAGGGGTTGTTGAAAAGGTGTTTGTGAAGACAGAAAAAGCATCGTCATTAATTTTCAAAATTTTTTTTTAGTTTTTAAATTTGTTTTTCTAACTTGGCGATAAAAATTCTAGGATCGCGCCAAAAACTAAGGGTCGGTCGGGAAACCTAAACCCACAAGTATTTTTTGGGGGGGGCCTTATCAATTTTTCTGACCTTAACTGACCACAGCTAGAAAGCGTTTGATACACAAAGCTGCATGCAAACAGCACCCTCTTCTGATTGGAAAAAGTTTTCACTTGTTCACCGTGCACGTGCGGAGATCAGAAAGTAAGCAAAAAGTAGCATTTTTGCCGAATGTAAGCAACCCAAATGAGAAGAAAGATGGAGGAAAGAGATGATTTTGATCCCAACTCTGTGACCAGTGACTTCTAACTAACATACATGCCTCTTTATTATTTATACCATGAGCCTTTTATTTTCCAAAATGTCAAATTCTGCATTGGTAAGCTGCTAACAAATTTCGGGTTTTTAACATTTTTTTATACAGTCGAACATGCTTAATACAAGCTCAAAGGGACTCTCCAAAAAACCTTGTCTTATGGTAAACCTCGTGTTGTACGTGTTGACCCTTATCCCATTCATAGAGCGCAAGCCTGGTGTCATGCACCAGCAAGCATTCATGTACACGGCAATGTACATGTACTGCATACTACATGTATATGCAGTGGATTAGTATTCGCCTTTAACTTGTTAATAAATTTTCAATCAAATTAATAAATACGATTCGAATGAATAAAACAATGATTCCGAATACGTCTACTTGTTTGACACAACAGGGGCTGGCTGGCCGCCCTACCTGCGCCATGCACACATAGCGTGGCCAGGGAAAGCACTCCTTGGAAACTGGTACCTGACGTTGTACGTAAGTAAATTAACTTGAGAACCAGTTCATATAAGGACCGGGCGTAAGAGGGCATTGAAATTGGGGAATTTCTGTTGGTTTGTAATTGGCAGGAGGGATCTATTTTCAAGTCAGGTTCACCCATAAAATTGTTCATGTTCGGCTAAAAAAAACCCAAACAAAAACACTTCTTTCAGACCAGACCCGCTGTGTTTGAAACTCCTTTGATGCAGCGACATTGCAATATCTATTGTCGTCTAGAATAAAGCCCCCTCTAGTGGCACAAGGAACAGAGTCGCTAAGTCATCATTGGCAAAACCACAGCGCAAATTGCCGAGCGGATTAGCATTTTTGGAGAACTACTGACGCGCTCCATCAGGAATTACTTACTGGGATTAAGCTTCTGAAACGCTTTTCAGTTGTACTTGTATTAAAAGTGCCATGGACGATGGTTTTTGACACTGCCAGTTAGGCAAAAATGCTCGTCTTGTTCTTGTCTTAGCACAGCTCCTATTAACTAAGTTTTCTCTCATAGGAATGTGTACATTTTGAACAGGACTGAAGAAATATGCTCGTCTTAAGCGCGATCTCGTCTCAAACATGCTCGTGTTATTCGTTGTCGACTGTATACAGGCTTGTAAAATTCTAAACGGGCTAGTAAAATATCCATTTAACTAGCCCACTGGGCTAGCCAGGAAAAAAAGTTAGCGCAAGGCCTGTGATCCCAAGTATTTCATACACTGACGTGTATAAGAGGTACAAACATTAAGCTGTTGAATTGTAACAATGACATTAAAACAAAATCTATGTGTATGTCTGGCCAGGAAGCAAATGCCATCTGCATGTATTTATGCAAGATACATTTACTGACAAGAAGTGAATATCGGTCACAATGATGTTACTGTGAGAAAGGTATCGTTCATTACCACCTCCACTGAGCCACTCAAAATATCACATACCTTCTGAGGTAAAAGTTGTTGTAACCTCTGCCATGCCAGTATCTGTACAAGTCTTTCATCTAGCTTACTAAGCTCTACATCTAGGAGAGACAATCATTATCTTATTAGTCATTTCTCCTTTAATATCTCAAACCTGGAAGGTTATCAGCACTATTGTCATGGATTTTATGGAGACATGGTTTAACCTGTGGAAAAATATATTTGTCCAAAAATAAAAAAAACAGAATCAGTTACCATTCAGAATCCAAACTAATGGAAATTTCATTTTACTCATTGTAATTTTGAACATAAGGACCCATGATTGCTAGATAACATGATGCCCGACATTACAGCAGTCAATAATTGTTAAATATTCCACATCACAACAGTCAATAAATGTTAAATACCGACATCACAGTTGTCCGTAATTGTTACTCTTGTGGTTACTGCTCATATATCTACTTACCTCCATTCCCCTCAACACAGGATTGCAGAGTGCTGTTGAGATTGATGATAGCAGGCGACGAGCTCAGAGATGCTGCAGTCATCTTGGGTGCTGTACTCGTACTGCCTGCCATACCCTTACTGCTCCCATTGGAAACAGTCACAATCTTTGCCTGGGCCGACGATAGTGACAAGCCACTGGTGGTTGCTATGGAAACCTTGGAGGCAGACAACCCACTGGTTGTCTTGGTGACCAGTGACCCTTCTGCTTTGGTATTTGGGTGGACTGATTGTTGACTAGTGGCCCTGGGTGTGCTCGGTCCAGTCGCCATCACTTTACCAGCTGCTGATGTTGCAACAAGTTTGTGAACAACTGATGCATTAATTTTGTTCCCAGAGTTTAATGATTTGCCCACAGAGCCATTCACTGTATTAGCTGTGTTCACTATGGTATCATTCTTGTTGGCTATCGTCACTACCTTGAGACCAATGTTACCATGAGGTAGGTTCTCTCCGGCTTTGGACTTAATGGTATGGTTCGTCACCCCAACTTCTTTCACAACGATAGTGTTAAATGACCCTTCAGGTTTATTTCCTGATGTCTTACTGGTGGGTACTGGACCATTATGAAGTGAAACCGGTCCATTGGTCACTTTGGCTTCTGTGTTACTTTGGCTATCATCTAGGACTGCTGTCTCTTGCTTTCTCTCACTTTGCAGAGAGGCAGCAGAGGTGTTAGCTGGGCTGGGTGTCCTGCTCTTCCCGTGAGGTGCTGGTGTAGAGCTGCTAGAGGTGGTGGCTGTAGTGATGTATGGGGATTTGGACGCTGTGATTATTTTCTGTTTGATGGCATCTTTGGGTAGTTGCTTTTTCACCATGTGCCTAGTTATACTAGTCTGCAGGGCAATGACACTCTTCAGCCACTGTCGAAAAGAAACAGAAGACTTGATTTGGGGTTTAGTACTACAGAAAATGCTGCTTAGGAAATTTTCTTGCTAAATGAAAACTCAGCAGGCAACCTGTTAAAAGCAGTACACCTCACATGGACATGTGGTTGGCAACACCTGCTGTCAAGTAAAAATTTGGTGCTATATAGATTGTCGTGCTTAACTCTGCCAGTCTCAAAATCCTCTAATTTCAATACGATTTTACACACACCCTTGGGGGTTAAGGTTAAGCAGCTGTTGTGAAGAAGCTGTACACCCATGGAATTCTTACATCAGTACAATGACAATTCACTGACAAACAGTGGTTACCTCTTCCTGGTCCTCTAGTGAACAGACAGTGTTGCTTGATCTAAAGCCCTCTGGCGTCATGCAGACCAACCGTGGCTTCTCCTGAGGGAGGGGCAACATGGGGGGTGGGAGGGCATACTGACACTTAATAGCAGATGGCACAGCCAACGCTGGTCGCTTATTGACTTTGTCCTTGTGCTTTCTGGGTGGGCCTGTACTTCGGACTTTGTGCATGAATCGTAGCTTGATGGCATGTTGGTCCAGACGTCCATGGAATTCATTGAAGATTCTGCAACGTTCAGTGTACTGAACACCTTGGAACCCAGGCTAAAAGACAGACAATAAAAGACAGACAAGTGTAAGAGACATTTAAGTAAGTTTTGAATATTGATGCTGTAACCCTGAAGTGCTTCTTAACCTTCTTCCAGCCAGGTGAAAGTGAGGGGTAAGGCCATTCTGCCTTCTAAGATCTGGGCTTTCCTACGACCAATCTCTCTGAATCCTGGTGCACTCTGTAAGTACAAATCCACTTAATTGCCAAATGATTGTCTGGGACATGTATAATCAATCCATTCTGTGCAATTTACAGACAGTGGGCAGCATATCCAGTTACTGACCATTCTGCCAAATATAAAGTAGTTGCATTCTTTGTGCCAAATATCAGCAGTTACATGTAGCTGTTCAACATGAAGTGAATAACAAGCTCAAAGATTTGAATTTCATCATTTATTCATTTCCAGAGTGAAAATCTAACTTGAAGAAATTTCCTGTTCAAGGGGGATTTCAACCAAGTGTAGATGTACTCCTCAATAAATTATCCAGCTTAAAAGGGTACACCTTCAGACAGGCAAATCTCACTGTCAAGCAGGAAGTGAGTAACTGAATCTAGGCTGAGTAATCATAAAGCTCTGTGGAGTAATTAATATTGTGTCCTAGGTCAACAGAGTACACCACGCAAAATGAGTACGAGTTTTATTAAAAACACCAAGTCAACTGAGTGAACTGACAAACGGACTATTTTGCTTAAATTGAGGATGCCAAATGAAGAGAGCAGACTAGTGTTGAGTAAAAGAGTAGAAGTGACAAGTGAGACCAATGAGCAACTGGACTCGATCACTACATGTACATGTACTCACCAATGAGTGTTCAGGGTGGTTAGGACACATCCATCGTCCTGTTGGCATGCAAGTAAGAGGGGGATCTACACAGTCTTTGTGAAACAGTAGAGGGCAGTAGTCACATTGAATCAATGGACCCACACGGCAGCTCCTGTCATCAAATACACATAAAATACTTGAAGCAAATGCTGGCTAATAAGGATGGTTAAAGTATAGCATCAATGGGGCTGTGTATGTTTTCTACAGTTACTAATAATCAACCAGTACTTCGATAAATGGCATCCCCTAAAATAATCAGGGATCACTAAAAAATCATCTGCAAAGAGCAATATTCTTTGCATCAGATTACCAAAGGCTAAACAATATCAACTCAACATAACTGAAAGCTGCTTAACAAAAACATACGTATGCACTACAAAATGAAACAGTGTAGCAATTAACAGTTGTTTTTTAACTAACTGCTGACTAGAATTTACACAGAAACAGCTTGCAACTGCAATCAACCAATATAAAGGCTATTTGCTGGCATACCTGCAAACTTCACAACATTCAGGCAAGGGGATAATCCCTTCCCAAAAAAATCTTAAAATACATATTTTGATAAGGTGACAAGGACAATAATGGATGGGTACACATAATGAAACTGCAGTTGTCTATCTCACACAAACATATTATAACAACATATTCTGGGTAGCTTAAGCCTGAAGACCAAGTCTCCAATTTGATTTAGGGTAAGCTTACTTGCTGCACTGAAAGCAAACTTTAGCTGGTAATGGGACCAGCCCATTGTCCAGCTCATGTGGTTTCTTGTAGTTCTTGGACAATTCCTCTTTCCGTCTTTTCCTGGTGCTCCCTGAAAATGAATTTTGAAGTATTTTTTTGTACAGTTTCATCAGGTTTAGAGCTAGAAAGAAATTTGGAATTATGGAAACGAAACAGTTGAGTGATAATTTGGAGATTTGAATTCAGTGACTGCATGCACTTGCAAATGGTACAAATTCCCATTGGATAGAACAAAAAATTAATTTGTGTTATGTGATAAGCCTTTTGCGAGTTTAAATAAAATCTGGCACACTGCATTCTTTAATTTCATAACAATTAGAATTCGGGGCAAGCTTTTACTTTGTTACATAAGAGACGACTTGCACACTGTCCTGACAATGTCACGTAAGTCATCACACGTGCTACACTGCTGAAGCATTAATACACGTTGAGAATCACATGGCACACTTCATTGCAAACTTGACTTTCTTCAGAGCGCTGCCAAACCTCTTTGTTGAAAACCTTCACATCCACTTGGTTAAATACTGATTCTATTGCATCCATAACACAGGCTTTTGACTCTTTGTGAACAATTTCAGTGTCATGGAATTTCCTCTGAAATTCAAATACATCCGGAAATTGGCAAGAATTGAGCTGAGTGACCTGGTACCCTTGAAGAAATCTCAGAAAATCCCAACAACATTTCAGAAGAAATTCTAGTAAATGATTATTACCACCACTCACATACCCAACTAAAAAATTGTAAAAAAAAAATATTTTGGGCCCGGTGCATTTTAAGAGTTTATTTTGCACTTTGGAAAAAAAAATCAGAAAATTGGGCCCAAATAAAATTGCATCAGAACTTTGTTGCAGGTATATGAAACCAATATTTATGAATTAAAATATTAGGAATTTGATTAAATTTCACCTTATTTGAAATTGGGAAAAATATTGCTTCAATAATACATTAACGTTAGAGGCGAAAAATTTGAAGGCCCAATGTTAGGGTCTGCGCCACTTTCAGGTATGCAGTCTTTAAGTGTAGCAGCACACAAACGAGTGTTATTATCAATTTAAACTTTTTGAAGGCCTCAAATTCACTAGTTTTGGTGGACTGGATTATGTCCCTGCTGGGTGGGCCATGTAATGCTTTTTGTTCTTTTTTATCAGTCTGCAAATGGTCAGTGAAATAATGAACAACATGGATTACATAACCATGAAACAGACAAAAACGAACAGATGCACCGCACGATTTGTGAGGTTTGAAGAGTACTTACGGTACATTTTACAAATCTATTCAGTCTCTCTGGACTGATCTCCTTTATTTCCAACATGCGAGTAGAGCAAATGTAAACAGCACCCAACGAAAACATGACTGCCTTTTCCCTGGAGTACTCTGCATCTTGCACGCATGGCCTGCCAGCAGCTTGGGCTAAGCTGCACTGAGGCACAGTATGGTGTTTAGTGTCTGAATTCATTCTTCAAATGTTACCATATAAGCTGCCTGGAGTATAAGCCGCACAGACATTATTCAGCGCAACAATCAACGTACATGCTGCGGCTTATGTTCCAATAACGGCATATGTTCAATGCCTCATTTAACGTAAATATAAACTAAATCAAAGCGTGCAAGTGAACCAATGGCTTTATCAACTGACCTGGCAATGGAGCAAATGTCATATAGCTGCTGGGTAATCCAAACTGCACAGGGTTCTGTATTTCAGCTGCCTTGACCAGCATCTGGAAGGGGTCCTTGATCTCACCCACATGCTTTGGACTATCAGGGGCCTTGACTGCTTCTACTTTCTTGTCCACTTTGTCAAGAACTAGCCGGAGATCTCGCTTGGTCTTAGAGTCCCCCAAGTCCTGGGCAGTCTTCTCCTGGTTGACCCTAAGGTCTCGCTTGGTTTCTAAGCTTGCCAAGCGAGCCAAGCGCGTCCTGGTAGTTGGAGGCAAAGCTGTTGAAGGGTCATCAGGTATGGGTGCTGCCACTGGGGTGGTCGGCCTACCAGACTGGGCCTTTGCTTGCTGAACCTCCTTTTGAGCTTCTCTGTACAAACCCAACAATCATGACATGGTTGGTCTATTGCATATATGAACACAGGGAAAGAGGGTTAGTGTGGGATCGGTGTAGAGCTGACAACACTACGCGTACATGATGGAGTGGACTCATTTTGTCAATTTCATCATTTCAAGTCCAACACCAATGCCCAATTGACTGTATGTACAAAATTTGAGCACAGAGTACCGAGACACGAAAGAAAGAAATGTCTCCAAGTGCGAGGTACATGGCATAAATATTCCTTATTTAACTCTCAAAGAGCTGGGTTATTTTTACCCATCTCACAGCCAGGAGGATTCCCCTCCCCTCCCAAGAAATCGACTATGCCTTGTTCCATTTTTTTAAAAACTTGGCATGCATATACCGATACTCCTTATCATTACAAATGTGAAGTTTGAACTCAATCAGACTTATGGTTTTGTTGTTACGGTCATTTTGAAGTTCATGGCTCCATGCATGCCAGTATGCATACATTGAGCACCGTAGTGGAAAAAGTATACATTTTGGGCTGACCTGTCTGGGAAAAATGCTCGCTGCACGAGAATAGTAAATGGATTTTTGCAAAAAAGGAGTCAAAATGACCGCAAAGAGTTACTCTCTAAGCCAAACTTCTGAAAAAATGCACTGCAGGGATATCAGAAAACATGTTAAGGGGGCCCCTGCGTCTCTTTTAGGGTTAAGTGATCTTCACGTAAAAAGGGCAGTGTTGCACTTAAAGCATCTAACATATTGAGTTTATCCTGGTGAATAACATTTCCTGAAGAGCTCTCCACAATCATGCAATCACACTGTATAATTTCCTCCCCTTACTGGCATGTGAACTGTATCCAAGGGCTACAACCAGCAAATCATCACTCTGAAAGTTTTTCTTTTACAAAATCAAGACGCATACATCAGTTTCAAACATTTGTGAATTGTCAACTTTGACTAATCCTGATTACACAATAAAAACCTGCATGTTTATGAGGTGCAAAACACAATCCAAAACCCTAACCCCCTAGGGACCATTGAAATCCTGCATAATCTTGTTGGTTTCAGCATGGTTAGTGTGAAGTTTTAGATACAAGGGCATCTGCAATATAACTGCAAAAGCTGAAATTGCCCCAGTTTAACCTAACTGGGTACCATGCCCATGGCAACAGGCATGCAAATGACATCACAAACATGCATCTCTCTTATTTTGTGCCTGAATATTTGGAAATCACAGCAGTGATGGAAATGAGAAAACATAATTGAATTGTCATTTGATTAGCATTATGATGAAATTGACTAGCAAAAAATAAATGGGCCTTATTCAGTACCATTATATCATGGTATACAGTGTTAATATCTACTAATGTGTACAGCAAGGCTAAACAATGAAACAACACACAGGTATGGTATAGCAGGGTTGTTGGTTCTGGCTCTGGCCCAAAATTGGATACAGAAACATCTTTTTACACCAATCAAGGGGAAAATAAACAAAAACCTGCTGCCTGCAAGTCCCTACTCGTGATCTTTGGGGGTCCCATTTGGCTCTTGAGATGTTCTACATTTGACCTAGATCAGTAGGTGACTTACACATTTGTAAAATATTTAACAAGCAAAGGGAAATGAGATACATGTACATCACTACAAATTAAACCGCTTTGATTTTGGCCTCTTGCCAGCTACATGACTCACAGTAAAGGACGATGTCTTCCGACTGATTCTTTTGTTTCTACCATAGCATATCTCTCTGCCATTTTTCAACGGTACATTTGGATTGTGCTTTTGGCATTTTTGTTGCGCATTGATCACCACGAAATGACAGAAGTTAACACGTGCTTACGTACATGCGAAGCTGGTATCACACTTGGGATGTATGTACCAACGCGTAGTTCAAGGTGCCACTTATCACGTATTGAATGTTTATGTGTGCGCTCGTATCGCACTGTACCGAACTACACGTGCTACATAATCCCACCAAATTGCAGCAACCTCATTTCCCCACAATCCGTGGGCCTTGTGCTGCACGGAACTAGGGCAAGAAACTGGGGGTGACTTTGTTTTGTCAAAAATTTCGTTTTTGCTGTGAAGCCACCAGCGCGGGCCGGGGCCAGTTTCCAATCTGTGCCACGAGCTTGCCGCGTGCACGGTGGCCGGTGGGGGTGGGTTGTATGGGCTGTTCATGCATGATTTTAAAAGAAATGTCCATCTGCAAAAATTGCACATCAGTTTCATGTTTGTCTCGCTTTTTGTGCAAAATGTATCGCTTTTCGCGATGCGAACCCAGCTATTTCCATCACTGTACAGACATGTTTCCACGTGCACAGCCAGCTGAAACTGGTTCCTATCCACTGAAAAATGAAGGCTATGTATCAGTTTCCCCAACAAATTCAGAATTTAGAGGGAAAAATTCCATTGTGCACATAAGTACATGTATGTACCTGTAATTTAATATCATGACCAATGTCGCTTTGGAACTCACTCCCACACCATATCAGAACTGTCAATACTGAAAATGAATTTAAAACACTCCCTAAAACTTACCTATTCCATTAATTGCTTTTATTGTTGTTTCTTGTGAAGCACATCAAGACTTTGGTGTGATGTGCTATATAAAAACTGTGTTATTATTATGAATCTAACCATGGGTCATTTTTATTTAACACTAACCTGTAGGCCTGAAGCTGTACCAGTCTGAGGCATGGTTTATTCTCTCGCAACAAGCGATCATTTAGCCTCATGGCAGGCTTGTTAGCTTGAGGTACAGTCTTGGTCACAGATGGAGCTTTGGCAGTACTGGTAGTACCAGCTGCAGGAGCAGCAGGAGCTGGTTGTACCTTGCTGGAACCTACAGCAAGCTTGGCTTGTTTATCCTTCTCTGACTTTGTGGAAGTAACAGAGCTTGTTTCATCATCTTGAGGCTAAAATATTCATAAAAATGCAAGGAAACACCACCCTGTTAACTACTGGTTCAAATGCATTGAACCATGTGTTCAGTAATCTCAACATGCAAGCTTTCCCTTCATCTTCTTTTAACAATTTATCTATCTACAGTGTAGAAGATTCAAGACAGATCTCATGGCTATCAAAGGTCAAAAACCACATTTTACATTTGCGTGATCAACAATTTGCCAATGCTGGAGTCTACATTTTCTTGTACACTCTGGCTCCTGTGAGATAAATAGAAAACGATCCTTCATTAACTTTATATGGTATGAGATAGGTTTAGGGCTCTGCCAAGTACTACTGAGTATGAATTCCATGGGCAATACACTGTTCAAATATAAAGAACAATGAAGATGTGTAGCTGAACTGAATAGAAATTGTTTTGTATTTAAACAATCTAACATGTAAACATTACAGCCTAACAGACGAAAGATCTTAGGTCTGACTCCAATCCTCCCATTGCTTCCAAACTATGTGAGAATTGTCTGAAATACTTTTTAAGTTTAGCAAGGTAGTGCCTAGCCTAGGCCATTTTAGGTAATTCACATGGGGTTTGATGCCTCTTGTGAATATGCCACTGATTCCCTGCAGAGTCATGATTTATGGAGGATAGAGGACATGGAGCAAGGACTATACATGGATAATAAACCCACCTTGGAAGGGCTGATCTGTAAAGCCTGTTCTAACTGAGCTACTTCAATCCCCTTTGAGCTCCATGATGATAACATTTCTATTGCACATGTATGCATTTACCAATCACAATTCACTACCATCAGGTCTGTACAGAGCAACTTGTCCGAGAAAAGTCCCCACCCATATTAAAGAGTATTCTTTGAAATTTTTGTGCTCTTTCATTAATATAACACACAGAAAAAGTAACAAATATAATTTGTGTTTTGGTATAGGCTACCAAATTTTAAAAAGAACAAATGAAAAAATGCAGCATACACGTATGGAAATATTGACATTAAGTTGAAAAGTGGCCTCTTCATGGCAGTTTCTTGTGAATAATGGCTCCTCTTACATGTACAAATAAGACTGAATAAGCCGAAACCCACAATACAATCAAGTCTCATTGAAGGGATCAGACAAATGACTTTGTTATAACCACAATTTTGTTATAGAAGGAATGGGAAAAGAAAAACCCACAAAATGTAAGAACTTGGGATTCTCAGAATCTGTACATTTATGTACTGGTACCACTTAGTGTTTAACCCTAACCCTCCTGAATCCTTCACCTGTTGGAGGATTGAGGAGGGTTAGGGTTAATGTAACGACACATGGACACCCTGTTACCAAAATCTTAACTCCATCCTGCCTGAGTTATTTGACAAAGTACTCAACAATTTTCAAACTAACTGTGCTACATGTAGTCAGCACAACCCAAGCAGCAGGTTATAATTTTCCCAACAACCTGCTAATCATTAATCAGTATGCAGCATGGTTCCTTTATATACTGTACAAATGATCAGCTGTCATTATCTGAACCTGTGAGGTCAACATTCCTTCAGTACAATCATTGATGTGTCTAAAACAAAACAGTTGCTGGAAAACTCTATAAATAAGTCTTGTTGGGTCCAGTAAAATTAGCACAAATGACTTCTTACATGATCACAGCCAACTAGTTTCCTTGGAATAGAAATCCTTACCAGTACATGCTATACAATGTACACGTACATGTTCCCACATGTACATGCGCAAGTACGATAAGCTTCAAATTTCACCTTTCAGATAGCAAATGTATCCCAGAATTCCCGAGCTCATTTCATCATTGATATCTTCAATTGTTGTGGTGCACTGTTATTTTACACAAGCAAAATGTCTTCAAGTTTAATGCTACTTTTCTGCAATGCTGCCACAGTCATGAGTCTCAATGTTGCTAGGCAACCTGCTAATAAATAATTGAGTTTTTCCTTCAAGTGATGGAAAGAATCAATAAGACAAGACAGATCCAGACTCTTCTATTCCAACACATTTCCATTTGTAGTGCAAATGATGTGTACACAAAGGTTATTTAGAGATGCTCTCAATATACACTCACTATATGCACAGAGATCAGGAGACATGTACACCTACATGTACATGGACTAGACATATTACAGGTACATGTCCATACGTATACATGTACACATATGTACATGAATCATGCAATGATAATTGTCCTAAACTCAAGGGTGCAATATCAACTAGACAACATCATGTTACATTAAGCCAGCTAAGGCAAGATGAAGTACATTGTACACTGTATATTTTCCTTTACAGTTTACTAACCACTTATTGACACAAAATGCTGCCAACCAAACCTACCATCACTGAGGCAAAGTCTTTATGTTTCCGTGTGTATCTTGTCCGAATGCTGTACATGTAAATGAGCATGTACAGTCTTACATTCAAAGAGAATGAACGTGCAAAGTTATACTTTCATTTTTCTTAGGAAGGTTTTGTAAAGATACATGTAGTACTGTAATTTTTTGTAATGACTGGCCAACGGTTCATGTACATGTACATATAACAATATTCTCTTGTTGTGACTGAATCTTAACACTCCTGGTGATTGCCTGATGACAAATTAAGGTTTACAAGTGAATCCTCAATTTGTCTGATCATTGAGCATCATGTACCACATATCAGGCCTATGGGCAACATTCAATGAAACTCTCACCAACAGAAACATGACACATACATGTATCGGTAAATATAAACGGATGGAGGACAGAGCCAAATGCAGCCCAATCTCCAAGATCCAGTGCTGCAAATGTTGAACCCTGGATCATTCAATTGTTAATGTGCACATGAATAGTTGTGTTAGATCATCACTAGCACCTCATCTTGGTAACCCAAAGACAGATGATGTACAGGGAATGGCGGGATCATTGCCGGTACTCCGCCTCTGGCTCAGTCCACATGATGCTCCACTGTAATACGATGACGAGGAACTGCATGTACTTGTGCTTTGTGACTCACAGCGAGCTGTCTGATCACAGGCCTCATGTACAGGTATATGCAAGTTTCATGAACTCATCGGAAATTTGACAACAAAAGCTACATTTTCCAGGGCTGTCTACAGCACTCAATGATGAGCAATACAGGAATTTTATGTTCTTTAATTTTGCAATGCACTTCTTGAATGGTCTCTTCTGTGTACATGTACAGTACATGTGTGTTGTGGTCACAACACAGTCTAGACAATTCATACACGCTGCTGCTATTTGCAACAAACCTCAGTCGATGTTTGCTGTTGGACTAACACATACACTGTACATGTATGTATGAAAGTGGTTAGAACAAGTGGAACAGTACACTGAATAATGGAGCAATGTCCTTAGTTGTAAATGTATGTTGTTGCCAGCAGGATTTTCATTTCAGCTTTTTTTGCATTTCGCTACATTTTGCAAGGAATCAGAAAAAAATGACAGGATTTCATGTACATGTAGGTCTGGTTAAATCCTGTGTGTGTTTCCTCATGGGTCCAGCCTAATCCTAATTAAGAAGACTCCATTCAAAAATTCAACACATTCTGAACTAACACCTTACATTACAACATTAAGCATCACCTTTAAAGTAGTTCACCTCTTCCCAATGTATGCTTTCAACTTTCCAGCGATACATGTAAGTCGTCTCAAGTCATTTCTTTTTTCAACAGAGATACTGATATGACCTGATTAACACACAGGCACCACAATACATTAAATATTCTCTGCTTTACAGTACTTTTGATTCCATAGCTAAGTATTCTTGCCAGGAACATTCCTGAATCTTCCAGGCTCCAAAGTCCTCCACCATGCAGGAGACCAATTACACATTCTTTGTACTTTCACATTTGGGCAACCTGGGATAAGGGTTAATGGATGCACTTGGACTACTCTAAAGTGCTGTATGTGGACAGATTCATGAAGGTTTCAATCAATACTGCCCAGGAGACTCCACACAAATTCTATCCTTGTACATGTAGAATCAACTGGATAAATTTCATTTGAAGGAGTGAATCAGTTAATCTGTGCCTTTTGTGGACCTTTTCTTACAACATTATCACATGACCTGTATGTAGATGTGAATGAATGACACTTTCCAGAACGATGCAGGGAAAAGGTACCTGTCAAGACCCAATATACGCTTTCTGAGATTTGACAAAGTTTAGAACAACTGTAATGCGTGTAATAAATCAGATGCACGTAACTTGTAAACCAGGAACTGGGAAGACCCATATTCTAAATATTTTGTAAAGTACTTCAATGACTAGAGGAAGCAACCTACCAGTAGGAACTAACAAATATACATGTAACTGCAATAACTTTTTTCCCTTGTTAGTCACATCAAAATCTTATTTATCCAACTTGGCAAAAACCCTGTTGTGTATGTGCATATGTACTCAGAGTTACATTATTGCTGGATACTAAAAAAAGTGTTCCAGCTTGAATAAGAAGCAAAGCTATGAGTTCGTCTAATTTGCAAATGCAGCTGATCTACATGTACATGTATCTGTATTAGAACATGTAGGTATAGTATCAATAAGCAGCAATCTGTACACCACCAGTGTGGTACTGACTTGACTGTGCATATGGGCTAACACCTACCTCAGGCGCCACTGTGCACTTGTGACACAACCATTCACCAGGAGGTAGATCATCATCACTCAGAGGCGGGTTGCTGAAAAGAATACAAACGTCAGGATCATCGATCACAAATTAGTTTCAAAATGCCATGTGTTACAACATAAAAAACTTTAACCCCCTGGGCTACAGGATCTGAAGTTAATGAGTGTCTTCATGTCTTTGCCTTCAACAGCACAGTGTGCACCTGTACTTGATGCTTTACAATGCTGCACATTGTAACTTTGAAACATCTGCAGAAAATTCTGAAGTCTGAAAAAAAAAGGAGTAATTAGATGGAATGGCCAACCTTCAGAACTCTGAGCCACAATTCCATTGCTGTACATGTGCAAACACTGCGAGTCACTCAGAGTCAGAACGACAAACATAAAAAGGAAACTGAACATGATTATGCAGCAGATGAAGTAGCCTACACAGGTCACCAAGGTCAATGTGCACTGCTCTCGGTATAAATTATGATAACGACTGTTTCTCCAACTTGGAATACAGAAGACACACATGAATATGATGCCCTCTCTCTTAAAGGAGTTCTTCAAATGAAGAGTAGGAACAAAAGCCCTGAACTTTATTTTTGGATCTTTTTGATCAGATAAGTTGTAGGTACATGTAGGTGATGATACAATCTTATTGGTTCAATGTACTCTGCAGTAAAACAGATATTTTCTTTATCAAGAACAGCTCCTGCGCATAAGTGTGTCTTATGAGGCATCTTGTTGAGTTTAAACCATCTTTGCCTGACAAATCTTAAACTGCCTGTATTTTTCAAGCAAGCCATGATGCAACATACCACAGTAACAACCCTCTTGCATAAGCTATTGTGATGCAAAGTACATACATGTACATGTTCACTACTTGCAACTAAGTGAGTACAAATGATGGTGTCCATGAAATTTAAAAAGGAGTACATTTTCTGCAAACTCTAACATTAACATGGATGCAGTCATTTGAACTGACAATAGAAAAATGAGGCAAAGGTTTATACATATATGTATGTGTACTTGTATACGTACACTCAATAAGTCAGGATTTACCTCAATATGTTTTAAAGCAAGTGAGAGAAATTTTTGCATTGTTTTCCACTTCTGACAATATCTGAAAAATTGTTTACCCTACCATGAACTTGCTCTGTGTAAACATCATGTGACTCATGTAGATATGGTAGAGTTATTGTCCTTTAATTCCCCTAAATTTGTGTATTCAGTCACGTTAATAATTTGTGCTACTTCCAGAGGTTGTTAAGGTACACTACTGTTAGAAAGCAAAATAATTACATACGTGTACATGTATGAACTGGAGGATGGACTGCATAGTCTAAATGCCACAAACAAATAAGAAAATGCCACATGGGCACCTTTCACAAGACTTCAGGTGTTCATGGGATTTGTGTATTACAAATACAACACAACAGGATCTAAAACACAAGCTCAGCAGTGATACACGTACTTGCATGAGAATTCAACTCTACATGTACATGTAGTTGCACAGTTACAATGCCAATTTGCCCAGATAAATTCTATCCTGGCTTGACACGTGCTGTTGGGTTATGTACAACAGATGATCACATACACGTAAACCCTTAACCATCAGTTAGCCAACAAAAATAAAGCACTAGGTCTTCCTTGAAGGAATAAAACATGATAAATTCACGGAGGGAGCAGTAAATGTAAAATATTCCTGTATTTGAATGAAGATGAGATCACAAAGCACAAACTACAGTACAGCAACATGGGCTTATGAATTTCAAACATCCTGCTGGATATTACACGGAGGCCTATCATTCATAGGTTAATTATTGTTGGAGGTACATCATTCTGCAAAGGAACATATCTTGTCAGGAGCCTATATCAACCCAAATAATCTTGAATCAGTGGGAGGATTTAGGACTTTCAGACAGGAGATTCCCAGAGGGAGTACTGCATTTATATGAACTCAAGTTTAATTTGTGTATGTATGCTGTCTTTAAGTTTGCATCTTAAAATGAAATTGATCAAACTCAGTTTTGTCAACAGTGAGAAATTACAAAGTCGTTGCTAGAGTAACTATGGGTTCAGAATTAATGCCTGCCAATAAGGACATCTTCAGCACAGCTACATGTAACTCTCCTTATAATACTAACAGCCATCAAGTGATAACAAAGCAGTAAAAGGATAAATTTAGCTGAGAAAATTCGAAAGCATTTACTAAGAAAACACTTCCGTTTTTTTTTCCAGACAAGTCTCATGGATTTGTGCACAGGGGCATGAAGTGTTTTCTGTATACAGAACTCTTTCCCTTTCATGGTTGAACTTTTGCTTGTTTCATGGTTCCAGTTGAAAAATGCAATGCTTCACTTTCTCGGAGTCAGGATTTAGGCCTATATTCTAAATAAAAATAATGGGCAGTTAGCAGAGCTACAAACTCTTTTCTTTTACCCAATATGGCCTTTCCAAATCCACTGCAGTGGACTCTGCCCCCAGGCCTTCCACCATGCTTACATGAGTTTCATACACCCGCATACATTCAGTGCAAGGTTTTGTGCCTGCTCATAGTGCATGCGGCTGCATGGCAGCCATGTTTGATTTTCCTTGTTTGTAAACCTCAAATAGTATCTTATGCAAAGAAATATTACAGAAAGGCCTCAACTTATCGGACCTGACAGCCCCTGTAAAGAAGCCCTGAAAATGAGGAAAAACTCGTTCACTAAGAATAAATGAAATGTTAAACTCACCAGCACTGAAGGTGGAAAGCAGACGGGCATCGGTCGCAGCAAAGGAGATCACCTCCCTCTCGACAACTATCACAGTTGTCGTGGTTTACAGCGCGACCTGTTCGTCGGTGCTCCCTTATCCTTCGAGTTTTTCTTGGTGGTTCGTCGCTCTCAGGGGGAGCTACCAGGGCTTGGATTTGCTGGAAGAAGAACAGACAATCGTACTCACCCTTACGTTTTTAGCTCAGCTCAGAATTCATTCTAAATAGCTTACAAAAAGGTTTGTCATTTGTAGTGTAAACTCTTTGCTTCTCACTGACGTTACTCGTTGGCCATTTTGTTTGACAAACGTCAGTTAGGCCGACGCACGCTTCCAATTCCATGACCTGAACTCACAAAGAAAATTTGCAAGTTATTGAGCAAATGTACTCACATCCATCAGTCCCCCTGAAGTGTCCAAATCATAGAGAATTGTCGTCATTGTTATCTCAATGAATATATCAAACCATGGTGGATCTCATTTCTGAATAGGAGAGACTAGAGAGCAGAGTTTCCCGCGGTGGCAACCCCACATTAGCCAGAGCGACATGAGCCAGATATGGTACACATAAGCAGTGCGTTGTGTATGGCATGCGATGTACGGGTACGTAAAATGCACACGGCCTCGGCTGCAACACGTCGTCGGAACCTTATTATTAAAACGTGGTTCCTTTCCTGATTGAAAAGCACAGTTTTATTTAAGCTCGCGGACCAGTAAGATTTGGGCAATGCTACCTCTGGAGTAAGTTTTTAATGAAAGCCATGCTGCAAAAGATTTATCACAAATTAAAATTTCCAATGCGCAACTTGTAACTTGGCGCAAATAATCACTCCTTGCAGCGCATGTCTCTTATCGCATATCGATGTCCGAAGTCAACCAGCGTCATTTGTGCGCGTGCGCAGAGATCGTTTGAACTTTGCGCTTAATGTGCACACACACTCGTAAAAATGTGGCGCGCTTCTTCGCGGTTTTATACTGTGAAATAACACTCCCCCATAAAGTCCTTTAAATTTACTTGGTACTTTCATTCCTGTAAAGTAGCTGATGATTCTAGTTCCCTTAGTACCCCATTAGGGCCTACACTACAGTTCTTTCTGCACTATAGCCGACAATGTCCAAATGTTATCGCCGACAGTGCCCAAATGTTAAAAACGGCGATTGTAGGGTCCAAGTTACTTGGACTATTTCTGCACCAGGTCCGGTGCTTGATACCGTGTCCAGTCATCATATCGAATTCAAAATGGAAGATCTTCCCTTTCAGTTCTTACAAGGGAAAGAAAATAGGTCACCATTAAAAATTTTCATTTTTTATTACTTAAAAAACTCTACCACTACAAGAGGAATCCTGGTGTAACCAACTGCACTCGTCTTTATTGTTAAATTTTATATAAGTGTAGTCCTGTACTAGACCATGGAGAAACTCCATGACTAGACTATGTCTGTTTGTATAAAGGCATATTAATTTTTTGCTCTGATATAACCAAGATTACTGACAAAGATGAAGCTAGACGAGTTGATCATAAATTCCAAATTTTGGATTCTGCCCATTTTTGGTCATTTTCTTAACTTGGCAATAATACCAGAGAGTTTCAATTTACATTCAGGATCCGTAACTCAATAATTAGTCAAGTTAATTGTTCGACTGTGATGGGTGGCCCAAAAAGTAGCCAACATGATGATCACAGGACTTGAATTGAGGGGGGACCAAATATTGCACATAGAAACTTAGAATACTGTAATCTAAAAAAGTTCAAATGGTGTAAACTATTGTGATTTGCATGTAACCTTTGACCTGTAATGATTCTTGATATACCAGTGTCTAGTTCAATTGAACATACTTCATTCATGGTTTGGTTTGTGGCACTGGAATTTATGGTTTTATGGACTAGAATGATTCATCTATATGAAAGAAAATTGCAAAAACAAAACTTGAATTATACTTGATTCCACTCTGTTTTATTACCAGTAATCCAACTAGACAGCAAAATAATTACAATGTCTGAATAAAATACATACGATGATGACTATAGCACTTCAAAATAACAATATTCAAACTTTTTGAATCTATGTAAAGTAAGGGGTGCACCGAGGAAACTAAGATTTCTACAAAAAGTACAACATTAGGTATGCTCAGATTTTGACAATTTAGTTTCCTGAGTAAAATGTGTTGAGAAATTAGGCTTGAATGCAGAGTTCATTTTTAATTATAGTTTACGTTTAAAATTCCACAGTGTATATATGATGGAGAAACAAATATGGTAAAAAAATCCACGCATGAACAAAAGAAGACGCTGACAAGAAACTCTGACAGCAATCCAATTGTTGGTAATTGGTTGATATTATGTCCAAGCACAATGTAACCCTTGTCAAAATTTCTGCACAAATTTTGCAATCCTGCTGCCCTGTTTTCTGACTGTTTGGGGGGACTTAGAAATTCTCAAGTCTGATGTCCTTTTTCTTACTGTTTTGGGGACTTAGAATTTTTCTCAGGCAAACATCCTGTCTTATTGCGGTTTCTGAGGGGCTTGACCTTACCCAGACTTCACAACACATCCTGTAACCTCTGAGTGACCTTTAGGATTGTGAGAAATTTGATTTCGTCCCTGTACTGTTTTTTAAATAAAACATGTTTTATTCTTGTTTCAAAAAAAAGGAACCTTATTAAAACTTATTTCTTTCACACTATTTTTAGCCTGTTTAAAGCCTGTTTTATTCCTGTTTTTAGCGGTTCCAATACAATCATTTAAAACATGTTTTTAAAAAAATGTTTGCAATAGGAAAAAAACATGCTTTATTCCTGTTTAAATTTGATGAGGGTAAGTTCCAATGCATCAAAAGTATTCAGTCAACACAACTTTGGCATGTGCATGTATATACATGTAATCCCATGTTTCTACTATGCTCCTTGAACTGAAATGCACCCTCACAGGCAAGTAAGAGACAGGTTAGTGGAAAGCTCTTCCACGGGCAAGAGAACACTGTACATTCACATACTGGTCACACTTGCCCAGCACCAAACGCATAGGAGCTTGTACGCGCATGTGCTGAGTTCCAACTAAAGGAGATAGTTGCCATTTAAAAACAAAGCCCTCTCTTGTCCAACTTGAAGTGGATCCTGGGCAAAACTAGTGACACACCACAAACATGCAGATGTTCATTAACATGTTGCATGGAGTATGTACAGGTACAAGTAATGACTTTCCATAGCTGTAGCACATTTGTGTGTTGGGAACACACCTTTGAGATCAAGGCTGAATTTGAGTCCTGGATCTCCAAGGCCAAAACCAAGTCACTGCCATTTAAGGCAGAGGTCACAATCTCTGAGGCCAAGGCCAGCTATCATACTCATATAACATAACTATCTACAGTGTACACGACAAGTGATTTTTCTCTATAATGGGGGTCCACTTTTAGCATTGTTGGCTGGCGCACACGATTCATCCAGATTCACAAGAAAAGTTGGACATGGACATAACATTATCCCTACTTATTTTGTCTAATAAAACTACCAAGTGCTATATTTCATTGATTAGTTACTTTCAGTGTAATAAATCTGGGGATATTACATCTCGTTTGACAAGTGTTGCAAAACTCAATTATTCCAATTCTTTCGATAGGGTAAGAGTAAGGAGTCCCCCACCATCACAAAAGAAAAAACTATGAAAACTTGAATTGTTCTCAATACATACAATTCCCGCAAAATAATGTTTCAGAAATTTCACTGACAAAAACAAGAATGCAAGAAGGTAAGGCTCAAATGCAGGCTATTAATCCCCAAACAAAATCAAGTAAGACAGTGGGAAGTTCACAGGTAGTTGTACAGTTGCCAAAAAATCCAACCACATAAATTTGTGAGTGAAGGTCATCATTTCTTAACAAGAAATGAAAGAAAAAAGTCTGGAACACATAATATATGTAATTTCTCTGGAAAAGCACTAAAAAATGGCACTTCTACTGACTATACGTGGCATTTAAAAAGATTATCCGTGCCCACCCCATACACAGTGTCACACAAGAAGTTATTGCATGCAAACAGCCATGCTGACCAGCCATCAAACGTGCATGCCTAATGCTGGCCCTTTGGAAAATCAAGGCGCACTTTCAATGAGTACATGTAACTTAATTCCCACAACACAAAAAGTATGAAATTAAGTACAGTATGCTCCCTGGGGATACAAAATCTATTTAGCTCACATTACATCATAAGGGAGTCAAGGTACGGCACCAAGTTTTTGTACCCATAAATGATCTATGCCCACAGCACATGAACATTGTAGTTAATTTGTCATGATAAAATTTGGGGGGAAAACTAACTCAAAACAGACAGCCTTGAATCGGCCTTGACTGATTCTTCAAGTCTAACACTGGAACATGGCACCTAATGGTGTTTGATTGCTGCCTCATTCTCTCTGTCTTTGTCACCAGTACAATGGGGACATACTTGTACATAAACAGTATGTTCAATGAGCCTTTTTGGAGCTTCACGGACACAGGAAACTATTTGTATTCGGTAAATTTGGACAAAACAAAAGATTTTACCCAAACCAATTAGAGCCCTTGTACTGTGTCCGCAATACCTCAAATAGGCTAATAACTTCCCTTACGCTTACCTGTAGTGTTGTCGTAGGTGGACATGCACAATATGCAATACTTAATGAACAAACTCAAGTTACGTACCAAAGTGCCTAGACAAGGTCAAATGGTAATACGGTACATCAATTAAATTTTCAAAAAACCTCAGTGACAGAAAGTAACTGACATCAAATATATTTCTTACCTGTCGTTCACAGAACTTAGTTGACTTTGACTGATTTGCAACTACATTAAACTATTATCCTGAATTACAACTTAGTCAACTTTCCTTTGCAGTATTTGACTTGGCTACCATGCTTTCCCATTGAACTGTGGGATACTTCAAGTAATTATCTTCAATACATGAGGGCTTTGTCAATTGGGCCAGGCCTGTGAGTAAACTCGAGATGTCACATAAGTGCCAACCTGAATTTAGTTCCACTTGCACAAGTGAGTACAAGGGAAGAAATTAAGTCAAGCTATTTGTGGAGAGAAATCCTTACCTGATTAATATTGGGGCTTTTACACAAATTATTGTTCTCATTTTGTCTCATGGTAAAAAATAAGACCACAGTAAAGCATTTACATGGGAAAAGTGGCATGAACATTTTGTGAACCCTAACCACAAACAGCAACAGTGAGTTACGTCATGGTTACATGTACACAGGATGTCACAAGATCACACAAATTGATGGCCTATTTGATGACCTAATTATTGAAGTTTACATACAGAGCTCCTCTAATGTAACAATTTAACCGGCTCCAATGACACAAAAAAGGCCTTCTTTACATTTTCCCGGGGAATTTCATGACCCCTTAGGCTTCAATTTTTCCTTAATCCTTAATTAACCAATGTAACCACATCCAGGACTCCAAATGACCAAATGTCAAAAAGCAGTGATGTGCATCCTAATGCCAGGGGTGTTGCCTAGTATAATATGGCTTGACGTATCTTCCATTCTACTGTGTAATACAACAGAAGTCCTATGAAAAGAACAGCTGCAATGGTGATAAGCTTGTGGGAGACACAGATTATGGCAGCAGTGGAAAGCCCAAAGTAGATACAGAAACCCACAGCTTGGAAGAGACGGAAGTTGGAAAATGCTGGCTCTTGATTCTCGGGGAAGATGACACCCAAAATAGCTATTTGGGGAAAAAAGTGTTACAAAGAATTGGTCACTGAAAACATATTAGGTTTTAAGAATTCGTTCTTACATACAAATGGGAACCAAAGAAGTTCATACATGTATTAGCCTATATCTAACAGCAAGCAAAATACGTATACAAGTATAATACTCATAAATTTTAAGATAGTTTTAGCACTCTGATTGGTCCAAAGTCTGTTTAGTGGGTAGTGGATTTTTCAAATGAGAAATCACTGCTAAAAAGAATCTAGAACAGTCGATAGCTATGGCCCCTGAACATGGTGAAAATGTCTGCTTCTGGGTTCATCATTATTGTTCGTAAAATTCAATTGATCCTCTTGAAGTTGGTGATATACATGTATATATAAATGTATGTACAAGTATGTACAAAACATAGAAAAATAAACTGGAGTATCTCACGCTCACAGCACAAACAAATGCATGTTTTTTTCTGTGAACTGGTTCTAGTTTAGTGTTTCCAAGGGTAACCTTATATTCGTCAATTTTATTGACATTGTAAAAGTGAATTGTAAACATGCAGACTTTCAATGATAGATGGATAATCATGGGATGACCGTCGGACATCACCAAAGTTGGATGACAACATCCTAAGACAGAT